TGTCCTACAGCAACAATATAGGGCTCAGAAGTTCACTAAGTTTTCAGGTTTGATCTTTGTTTTACTACTCACTGAAAAGAAGAATCAGCTATTGATGAAAAATCATCAAGCTCGACCTACTGAGGCGACTGCTGTGCCTGAATCACACTATAGCACAAATTAATGCCCAAAATGCCAAAATAGGAGTGGTATAGGTGACCAGAAACTACCTCGTCAAGGTCAACAGAGCCAAGACCCATCTAAGGGAGGAAACCAAGCCTAGAAGCACCCTAACCTTGCTCCCAAGGCCCCAAACTTTAAGAATAAGGGCAAAGCACCTGAAACCATGGATGCAGACATGTGTTATTGCTGTGGTTCCAAAGACCATTGGTCCCATGTCTGCCGAGCTTCCTAAAAGGTTGTAGCTGAATATCATTCTCGTCGTAAGAAGTTTGAATCAAACTTTGTGTAAGTGGATGAACCGAAGAGTATCAAGATGGAGGTTTCTGACTTTCAGGAGGATACCACCCCTATAAAAGATTATAATCTTAGACATAAACTATTATCTAGTTGAAATTTAGACAATGGGGCTGAATTCCACCTAGTGGCCAAACCCCCCCCCCCCCACCTTTTTGTTTTTGGGTTTAATTTTGAACAATTTTCCTTTATGCTTGGATTATTTGTTGGTGATTTATTTTTGGATATTAAGTTTTTAATTAATTACTATCCTTGAATACTTAAATTATTTTGAATGGATATTTGTTTTAGAACTTTTATGCATGTGACCGATTCAAATTAATTTTTATTTTAGGTATGACTAGTGGAAAAGTTAGTTGTCTGGCAGATCGTGCAACCACGCACACCGTTTTGTGTGAACGCATGCATCTATTTCACTAACTTCATACCTAAGAATGCATCTCTAACAACCTTCTCAGGCTCATCTAACCTGATCGAAGGATACGGTAAGACACGTATAATGTTGTCCAGTGGTACAATCTTGACTATTGATTAGGCACTTTATTCTCCACGTTCCAGAAGTATGTTGCTGAGTTTCAAGGACATTATAGATAATAATAAACACTCTGAAACCTCTGTAGAAAATGGAGTTTAATTTCTGTGCATAACTTCCTACGAATATGGCCAGAAGTGTACTTTTGAGAAGATGGAGCGTATCCCGAATGGTCTGTATACTACGACCATAAACCCTATAGAAAGCCATTATTAAGCCTTCTTATGACAAGATTCGTTCGAATCCTCCTATTTTTCTACAAATGATTCAAGGGAACATTTATGGACCGATTCACCCTTCCTGCAGACCATTTAGATATTTTATGGTTTTGGTTGACACTTTCACACATTGGTCACACATGTGCTTGTTGTCCATAAAGAACGTTGTATTCTTCACATTGTTGGCTCAGGTTATCAAGCTCAGGGCTCACCACTCTGATTATCCGATTAAATCTATTTGATTGAATAATGCTAGAGAATTCACATCTAAAACTTTTGATGACTATTGCATGTCGGTTAGGGTTGAAGTTGAACATCCAGTACCCTATGTTCACACCCATAATAGCCTGGCAGAGGCATTCATTAAGCGCTTACAAATGATTGCTCAATCGTTGGTCATACATACCAAGCTCCCGATCGCTGCTTGAGGCCATGCAATATTGCACGTGGCCATGTTAGTCCGCCTGAGGCTTGTTGTAACCCAACCATATAGCGACATTCGGTTGGTTACTGTATACAAACCCGACATATAGCATCTGCAAATTTTGGTTATGCGGTCTATATGTTGATTTCGTCATCTTTACGTACAAAAATGGGGCTTCAACGAAGGATGGGAATCTATGTTGGATATGATTCACCTTCAATTATTTGTTAGTTAGAACCTTTGACAGGCGATCTGTTTACCGTTCATTTCGTGGATTGTCACTTCTATGAGATAGTCTCCCTGTCATTAGGGAGAGATAAGAATGTCAATGTTCCTAAAGAACGATGTGAATTATCGTGGAAAACTCCTACTTTGTCTCATTTAGATCCCGCACTTCTTAGTCTGAGACTGAAGTGCAGCACATATTAGATCACATATTCCAGATGTTTTTATCGATATAGCGCGATGGACAAGATCATATATTCTAGCTGCGAATGTGCCTGCAAAGATGGATGTCCCCAATGTACGAATGACTTCCCTCCTGGAAGCCCAAGACGCCACTTTGGCTAAGGCTTAGAACCGGCTGCAATGGCAGCTAAGGCTCGCGGCTTCTTTGACCGAACCGACCGAGGTGGGTCCGAGAGTTAAACTAGGCAGCCATAAACCAGCCAATTGAGTCGTGATTGCCTTCAGGGTAAATGTCCGTATTGTGGCATGACGGGACACTTCAAGAGCCAGTGCTTCGAGCTGATTGGGTATCCTGAGAATTAGGCTAAGAAACGTGACCCTCATTTCAAAAAACCTCGAGCTTCTGTTGTAGAAACCAAGGATGATTCAGATGATGTTGCAAGCAAAGCATCAGTTCTGATTGCCGGTACTTAATGTTTCCACTTCTGTTATGAATAATACATGGACAATTGATTCTGGAGTCACTGAACATATGACTTGTGATTCTAGATAGGTTTCCTCACTAAAAACCTCCACCCATACCAAGGTTAATGTTCCTAGCAATGATACCGCCTTAGTTCTTGGGGAAGGCATTACTTCCCTTTCTAATACCATGAGACTTGATACTATCCTTGCGGTTCCCTCCTTAAATTATAATTTATTGTCGGTTGCCCAAATAACCCTTAGCTTATACTGTTTGGTGGTTTTTTGGCCTTATTTTTGTGTATTTAAGGACATTCAAACGCGGAAGACGATTAGTTATGGTATTAGACGGGGGAAGCTGTATTTTCTCGAGTTGAGTTCTAGTAGCTCGGGATTGCTCACTCAAGCACTATTAGTGAATGGGACTTTAGCAGAGAATAATAAAGTGTTAGATCTATGGATGTGGCATCGTCGTCTTGGCCTTGCTTCGTTTGGTTATTTGCATAAGTTATTTCCTAGTTTGTTTGTGAAAAATGATGTTTCTCAGTTTAAGTGTGATGAGTGTGAAATGGGTAAGAGCCATCAAACTTCTTTTCCTCCAAGTTTAATAAGAGTTTTGTTTTTTTTATGATTGTGCACTCGGATGTTTAGGGCCCTTTAAAAACTGCATCTCTTGGTGGAGCTCATTCGTTTGTTACCTTTATTGATGATTGTACGAGAATGACTTGTGTTACTTTGTTAAAATCAAAAAGTGAAGTTAGTATGGCCTTTCAAAAATTTCACAAAATGGTTTCGGTCCAATATAATATGAACATTCAGGTGGTTCGAAGTGATAATAGAGGCAAGTATGTTAATACCAAGCTTCGTTCTTTCTTTGATATGCATGGTATTGTTAATCAGACCACATGTTCATATACCACTCAGCAGAATGGGGTGGCTGAACGAAAGAATCGACATTTGTTAGAAATGGTTCATGCTCTCTCCTTGAGGCATGGCTTCCCTTGCATTATTGGGGTGGGGCACTCACGTCTGTTGCCTAAATTATTAATTGGCTTCCCTCAAGTACTCTCGAGTTTCAGACACCATTTCAGACACTTATGTCCCTGCTCAATTGCCCATCAGTTCCCAACCTCATATTCGAGTCCTTAGATACGTGGCTTTTGTCCACATGCACCCCCTCCCCAAAAATGACAAAGCAAACTCGAACCTCGAGCTCTTCGATGTGTGTTTATGGGGTACGCTATTACTCAGAAGAGCTATTGTTGCTATCACCCTCCAACCAAGAAAATGTTTATCACTGCCGATGTCACTTTTTCATGAAATTGAGATGTTTTTTGGTTTCTATGAGTCCTCACTTCAGGGGAGTTTCAAGGTGAGGAAGTTCGTTTGTTCGATTATGGAACCAAGCAGCAAGCTACTATGCAGCCACCCACCACTGAACAGCAGACCACTACACATATGTTGACTGCACAATAGCCGACCGCCGAGCAGCAGGCCACGACACAGTAGCCTATCGCCAAGGAGACGCCAATTGCACAACAGCCTAGTTCCCAACAGGTTGTTGCTGCACAACAGCTTATCGCCAAACCTGAGATGGCGGGTGACACGTCTCCCTTACAACTAAACCCCATGGTTGTAGAAGAAACAATTCATGCCGACTTGTCCCTTAGTGATTCTCATAACTAATCGTCTTCTACACCAAATGAACCACCACTCCATAGTTTCCTAGAAAGAATTAATCGAGGTATTCCTAAACCCACTTATGAGGCAGACCCTAAGTGTAAAACTAAATATTTAGTGAGTGAACCAACCCATAACTCGAGAGTGAGGTACCTATTAAACAACTATGTGTCCAATTGTCGCCTATCTGAATCAAATAAGTCATTTGCAAATCAATTGTCTACTGTATATATTCCTAACAGTGTGCAGGAAGCCTTAGCCGATCCTAGATGGAAAAAAGAATGAGGAGCTAAGAGCACTGAAGAAGAATGCTACCTGGGAACAATCGAACTTGCCAGTGAGCAAAAACTTGTGGGATGTAATGGGTCTATATAGTGAAATACAAAGCCGATGGAACGGTTGATCGATTTAAAGCAAGACTAATGGCAAATGGTACACTCATAAATATGGCATAGATTACATAGACACCTTCACACTAGTAGCCAAGATCAATACAATTCGAGTTCTATTATCAGTGGCAACGAACCTAGACTAGCCGTTTCAACAGTTCAATGTCAAAAATGCATTCCTACATGAAGATTTAACTGAAGAAATTTATATGGAGTTTCAACCAGGATGTACTAGAACGAACATGAACAAGGGTAAGGAATGTAAGCTAAAGAAGTCACTGTATAGATTGAAGCAGTCACTAAGAGCATAGTTTGGCAGGTTCAATAAATCAATGAAGGCATTCGAGTATAGACAGGGTAATTAGGTTCACACTTTGTTCTTGAAATGAAAGAATAAGAAGATTACAGCACTCATTATTTATGTGGATGACATGGTGGTTATAAGGAATGACCCAGCTAAACGATCGGTGCTAAAGAAGTATTTGTCCATGGAGTTTGAAATGAAAGATGTTAGATCTCTGAAATACTTTCTTGGAATTGAGGTTTCAAGAAGCAAGTTTGGAATATTTATGTCCCAAAGGAAGTATATTATTGATTTGTTAAAAAAGACTGAGATGTCAGCATGTAAACCTGTAGCAACTCTGTGTGTTGAAGGAACGAAGTTGAGTATTGACCAGAATCAAGTACCGGTAGACAAAGGAAGATATCAGAGGTTAGTTAGGAGATTGATGTATTTGGATCATACAAGACCTAATCTTGCTCATGCCCTGAGTGTGGTTAGTTAGTATATGCATGATCCGGGAGAACAACATATGAGTGCAGTTATGAGAATATTGTGTTATTCGAAGGGAGTCTAGGAAAAGAAATTTTGTTTAAGAAGAATGAGCATTTCAGGATTGAAGGATATACCGACATCGACTGGGCAGGTTTGGTACATGACCAACGATCGACATCAAGATACTTCACCTTTGTTGGAGGTAATCTAGTAACATGGAGAAGTAAAAAGCAAAATGTAGTAGCTAGCTCGAGTGTAGAAGCAGAATATAAATGTATGGCTTTTGGTATTTGTAAACTTTTGTGGCTTAAGTTTCTATTACAAGATTTGGGGGTTGATCATAGTCAATCAATGAAGTTATTCTATGACAACAAAGCTGTAAAGGATATTGCTCATAATTCGATATAACATGATAGCACTAAGCATGTGGACGTTGATAGGTTCTTCATTAAAGAAAAATTGGAAGGGAAAGTAATTGAATTTCCTCCGATTAGGATTGAGGATCAAGTGGCAGATATACTTACAAAGGCCGGTTCTAGCTACAAGTTTTCAATGTTTTTGACAAGTTGGGCATGTGTGACATATATGCACCAACTTGAGGGGGAGTGTTGACTTGTATAATATTTCCCTTAATTGTGGGATTCCTATAATTTTGGGTTTCCTACTTTAGGTGATAAATTGCATGATTATATATACCTCAGAATGAGAAGAATACAATAAACACATTCAAAACATTCTCTTCTATAACTGGCTCCGGCGGCTTTTCTCAGGTCTTCAAGGGCACTCTTGATGATGGAACCATCGCCGCTATCAAGCACACCAAGCACGGTGACACCGAGGGCATTGATCATATTCTTAACGAGGTTCGAATTCTCTGCCAGGTGAACCATAGGAGCCTGGTGAGACTCATTGGCCGCTGTATCAACCTATCCTCGTATATGAATACGTTCCAAATGGAACTCTTCTGATCATCTTCACTGTCGTCACAGCGGAAAATGGGCTCCGATTGGTTGGCGTCAGAGGCTCCGAATTGCTCACCAAACAGCTGAAGGCCTTGTCTATCCTTCACTCTTCTGCAGTGCAGCCCATTTACCACGGTGACGTGAAATCCAGCAACATATTGCTGGATGAAGATTTTGAGGCAAAACTTTCAGACTTCGGGATCTCGAGGCTGGTTGAGGACAGAGAAACCAGTAATCAGGGGACCCCCGGTTATCTAGACCCTGACTACCTCATGTAACTTTCAGCTCCCGGATAAGATCGACGTTTACAGCTTTGGTGTTGTACAGTTGGAGCTGTAGACTTCTCAGGAGGTTATCGATTTCAACAGACGAGAGGAAGATACGAGATTGGTGCCGTACATGAAAAAGGTATTGAAACGAAGGTTGATGGATGCTGTCGATCCAGTTATTAAAGAGGGAGCACAAATTGGAGACGATGAAGGCACCGGGATTTCTTGCCCGATCGTGCTTCAATGATCAGAGGCGTAATCAGCCTTCAATGAAAGAAGTTGCTGATCAGATTAAGTATAGAATCGCTTTCTTACTAATTTCGAGTGATGTTCCTACATCCGAGTACCTGCGAACAAGGCCGTGGTAACCAGTCTGAATCCTAATTCAGAAAGGTATAGCTCATTAAACTGTATAAACTCTTCTATTATTCAACTGTCATCAATGTCCATGCCTCGACCAATCGATACATGTTTTCTAGCATAACAAAATGAATAACCCTAAGAAATGAGTAAGAGGCAAAGAATTTGAGGGAAGATATATCAGAATCGCAATAAATAGTGATGGTGCCACAAACTATCTACTTGCCTTGTAGTTTCAAGATGATTATTCAGCCAAACCTCCGTGATCCATCCGTCTCTTCGAATCCTTGGGCCTTTATATAGTGGCACTACAAAGTTGACAAAAATACACATAACCAACATACAAAAGTATAACAAAACGCGAACACAAAGCTCAGTTACATTGCACGATGGTTGAACGTGGGGTGTTGTCCATATGCTCCGTTCGCACATCTGTTGTGCACTGCAGGAGGCAAACCCATGAAATAACTAATGTGCATGTAGTTTCAAGATTTAAATTCCATACCTAAATCCCGGAGGGCAGGCAAACAAGAAATCATATTGAATCTGTAGAACTGCTTCAATACATCTCTGTACATTAAGTGGATTAAGATATGCTACGGTTGAGGGTGCAACATAAAAATTACACATTGAAATAAAATACGAGGGTGCTGAATTGCCTCAGAAAAAAAAAAAAATGAGGCAAGTTGCAGACTTTTCCATTTACAAGTAAATAAATGAATGCTGTAGCGTAAATGTATCATAGGTAGAACTGAAAAATACAACCCTCTAAACTAATGCCGATAGGATCCAAAACATCACGTGAGAGGATATGGAAGTAAGGATCCAGGTGACAAAAGTGAAGGAAACTGCAAGCTTGTAGCTACCGCATGGTAAACCCCATCTACCCGTGCACAAATGAAAGTCTCTTACAAACAGAATTGCAATCCCTGATGAAGAGCTTGCAGCAGCCAGTGATAAAGTAGCTGTTAACTGAACATTTAAATTTGGATTTATTTCAGCAGCCGGTATTCGACCTCAAACGTACACAAGACATAACATCAGCCATAAAGGATGAGAAAAGAGTTTAAGGGACGAGTGACATACCCAATCACCAACAACAAATAGCCTCACTAGTAATTTATTTTGAAGGTCTCTCTTTTTGCTCAAAGCATAAATATCAAGACAAGCAAGCCCCAAGCTCCATAGCACTTGAAGTGCCATCGACGCAACCAAATAGCTGAACCATAGGACAGAGATCAACACGAAGCTTTTGCAGAACAATTAACTACCACTAATTGAAGAAAAAATTCATAACCTATCTCAGACCCATCAGGAACAAACTAATAGCAGTTAACAACAATCAATAGCATCAAGGAGCACATATTGGAAACAAAGTAGTGACAGAAAACTATGAGAAACAAACAAATTTGGCCAATTGGTTTCACTTTGCTTATGTTAAAATCTCCGAAAAACTTTCAAAAATACAAAGAAATGTACATGTCGATGACTAGTGTACCGATAATTTCTGCATTCGTGTATCAACAAGGTCAGTGGATTATGCACTAATCTCATTCTAAGGTGATACATATAGTTCTATAACTGTATGCTAATTCTATAACTCCACCACTCATATACAGTTTCGCTGAAAATTTCTCAGGTTGATCTCCTCAGTGTTTGAATTTCAATTTCAACTATCACGGCCGGATTCTCGTCATATATTTACATGTCAATAAAACATAAGCAGCTTAAACCAGTCAAAAACAGTTCACCACTGTAACAATCTAAATCCTAAATGCAATTAGATACCAAATTTCAAACCAAAACTCATAAAATTCAATAAAAATAATTAGGAAAACCAATAAATAATGACTTCGGGTAAATTAAAGTGCAAGAAGTTGAAATAACGGAAACAAAAAACAATAAATAAATATACCAGAAACAAGTGAATTCAGCGAAGCCGTCGGTGGTGACCATGACGGCGATGGCGATACCAGCACATGAAAATTGCGATACCCTCAGCAGCAACCCGCTCACGGACCCAGGTCTCCCGAGCAGCTCCTTCATTTCTGAACCGGATTGAGTCTAGAGAGAGACAGGGGAGCGAGAGAGGGGGCCCTAAAATCCAAAACCCTAAACCTCACGCTCCTCCCATACGGCTTCAATCTCCCCCAATCTCCGCCATGAAATCCTCCACTTTCCGATTTCAATCGGAGGAAACGGGTGTCGAAATCGCTGATTGGATTAAGTTGGATTCGGGAAGATCCAGGGAATCCCAATCAGTGGTTCTGATCAAGTTGATTTCTTTGATTCCAAATTACGAAATCGTCCCATTAAAGAAACCCTAATGTTGATTTATGACTGATCTGGGTTGTTTAAGGACGGAATTACTGTCCGGTCGTGGTGGACCCAGTTGTCTGTTGAGAGTTTATCGGTGATTACTAATTAATTAGCTCGTGAGGTTGAGTAGGGCCCACTGACCGACACTTCCTACGTGGCCTTCCTTTTTCATGTTACTCGCTGCGAATGAGAAGGGTTCCTGTACTTGAAGGACCACCGAGTGTACATGTGAGGGAGAGGAAATCTTGGATCTAGCATCACGTGGGTCGTTTAATAAAAAAAAAAGGTAATGACATAAAGACTAGGGAAGAGCAAATATTCATTGGTTACGGGTAATCGCGGTTATTCGTCCATTTAAATTTGATAGTTACGGTTATGGTAATCATTTAGATAAATAAACGATTATGGGTATAACTATTTACCTGTGAAATTTAAATGGACGGTTATGGGTATTATCCACAGTTATAAACGGGTACTCATTTAACCGTTTATTTTAATATATGTAAAACTAAAAAAATAATAATAATCGGTTTCTAACTTATGTTTAGTATCCCGAGATATATTTGGTTATAAAGGGCCATATAAAATATATATATATATATATATATATATGCCTCACTTGAGAGAAAAATATCGTTGATAGAACATACTAATGTTTAATATATATAATTGAATGTACTAAAGTATTAGAGTGTTCGACAGTTTTTTTTGGAGTCTTATGGAGCTTTGATCAATTCAAGATAATGATTACATTGAGCATTTAGAAACATGTTATTATCAGATGATATGTACCTATATATATATATATATATTTAATTGGCCTCCAATTTTCAATAAATATTTGACCCCAAAATTAGAAATCGATTAAATGGCTTAGATCGATGAACATATGTTTCTAAATAAAAATCCATATATTTATCAAATTAGCTTATTAGCAGACTGATGCTTACTTACTTACATATATATATATATATATATAAATGTACAAGAATATTAATTAACCTACAACCATGCATGATTCTTGTAATAGATTGATCGTCAAATAATTGAGAGACATCACATATATTCATAAATAATATTGCCGTTAATATAAAAATACATGTTAAATGTACTTATAACAGTATTTAATAGTTAGAAAAAAAGAAAATTATGACAAATTTCTATTTAATTTTCAGGTTGTTAAAAAAATAGGTAGACGGGTAAAAAAAAATGTAAATAGGTATGCGGTTATGGGTAAATGGGTATCCGGTTATGGGTAAATGGGTATCCGGTTATGTGTATGGTTAACCATTTATAAACAGTTATGGATAAATAACCGCGATTACATGTCTATCATAACCGTTACCCATTCCTAATAAAGGCTAATCCTTTAAATTAAATTTGCAAACAAAATAATGTGTCATCAATATGAAATAAGCATTAATCAACATTGAGTAATAAATTCTATTATCAGCAATCGCATCATATAATTTAGAAATTTAATCTCATTAACATTATCCAATAAAATATCGTCACGTTGTGATGTGGGATTAACCAAAAGGAAAAGGGATGTATGTCTTTTGGTGAGAGAGTGGATCCAGAGACCTAGTGAAGGGGTGGACTGTCCGACTCAACATATGCACACGTTTTCTTAACTATCTGACATATTGGTTTTTATTATATGTTCAAGACTTCGATTGCATAATCATAACCATGTGGCAATGTTTTGTTGTACGGTTGGATAAACACAGGTAGTGCATATTTTAATTAGGAATGTCCTGGTTTTAAAATTATTACAATAATTTAATAAATGAGAAAATTTCAAACATATGACGTACGATAAAAAATTCAAAAATCTAAGATATTAGACCACATAAAGTAAAAAGTCTTTGTTGTGATCAATTTGATGGCTTGAAAGAGCTCTTTTTAGACAAATTATTTATTGTTTAAACAAACAACAAACATTAAATTAACCAAATAATTTTATTGTGGATATAAAATGGTAGGAAAAAAAAATGTCTCGTTTTTCAACTTTGATACAGTGTATGGACAAGCAAGTGGTGAAGAAACTCAGATTATATCTGAAATAAACGAATTAAAAAACAAATTGGTAACAAATATTGATCAACGTCAGTGGTGACACGACGATGACGACAACCAAGCTGAAATATAGGAGAGAAAAGCACAGAGGAAAGAACCCAATAACCGAGTAAGGATTCTTGTCAGATTTTTTTTGTGAGGATCTCAAAAATTTTTAAATCATATATGTTTAATCTGTTTATCGTATATTGTGCAATAAAAAATTATTATATTTTTTTATTTAAAGTTGAATATAAATAATATTTGATAAAAATTGATCACACAATTCACGATGAACGAATATAATTAAATGATTCTTGGAATCATCATAAAGAAGATCCGCTGTCCTCTCTCCAATTGCCCAACTCCAAAACAAGCTCCTTCACGGCTGCCCCCATAAAATTACCATTCTCTCCAACTTGAGGTGTAACAGCAATGGACCATATGGTTCTTCCGTTTAGTTTTTGGTCAAATATTTGCTTCTTTTAGTCTATGCAACGTCATTCATTTGCCGTCTGGCCGTTTTCCTCCAGCCATATATGGTAACTGACCCACGTATCTTGCTCCATTATTTGCACTCGAAAATCGAAGAAAAGTGTGAATTTTTCTGCAAACAAACCACAAAAAAGGCGAAAAATGGCGGAAGCAATTCGGTTCTTTGAGCTCAACACCGGGGCCAAGATTCCGTCAGTCGGACTGGGCACGTGGCAGGCCGAGCCTGGCGTCGTCGCTGCCGCCGTCACCGCCGCCGTCAAGGTATCTTCGGTTGCTTTAATTTGGAAGTCCAATTCCAAAAAAAATAAATAAATAAAATTGAGTTTAATTTGATTGTTTAATTTTGCGTCTGTGTCAATGCAGGTTGGATATCGGCATATTGATTGTGCTCAAGCTTATGGAAATGAAAAGGAGGTATTTAAATTTCAATACTTTTGATTAATTGTGTGTTTCGAATTTTTCTGCTTAATTAATCTGGTTTGTTCTATTATGATTTATGTATCGCAGTGACCAGTAATTTCATGGATTTCTTTTTTTTTTTTGGTAGATTGGGTTTGCTCTGAAGAAGCTTTATGCTGATGGTGTAGTGAAGCGCGAGGACTTATGGATCACTTCAAAACTCTGGTCTGTTTTCAATATCTTACTAACTTTGGGAAATATACGAAACTGGTTACAAATTTTTAGTGAAAAATGAATACGATGTTCGTCAACAAAGGGGTACTAAACCGTGGTTTATGTATATGACTTATTTTCGGTTTAATGTCCTTTCAATTCTACTTTTTACTACATGTTTGTAACCGATTTTGTTGTGTGTATTTCCCTTTCCATTTCAAGACTCTTGAGTCTTTAAATCATCTCCAACCCTTCGAGGTAAAGCTTAAAAATTTAAGTCAGAAAATTTTAAGCCATAAGCCCGAAATTATTTTTCCCCTCCAATCCTTGTAGCTTAAAATTTTAGTTCGAAATTATTAAAAAATGATTCTAGCCTAACTTTTTGTTTTCGGTAACTTTTTTTGAAAATAAAATTTATGTAGATTATCCTAATTTATTTTTATGAACATTTTAATTTAAAAATATTTAAATTTCGATAAGTAATTAAATATCATACAAATACATAGGTATTTATAAAGTTTTAAGTTAAATTTGATTTAAATTATTTTCTTAAATTATTTTAGACATTAGACTTAATTTTGGACTGTCAAATATTGTTTTTTTTTTCTACCATTATATTTGATCTTGTTTGATCATAGCCGTTAGATTATAAGTAAAAAAAAAAAAAATTCAAATATGACAATTTAGTGGGTCAAGAATAATTTAAGTCAGGCTTAAATTGTGAAGAGAATCTAGCCTAGATATATTTTATCCCCAAGACTTATTTTAGCCTATAGTTAGATGGTTTGGAGATTTTAAAGCTTATATTTTAAGTTTTATCCCTTGAGTTGGAGATGGTCTTACTATCTAATTGGAAAGGTTGAATTTGAATTTTGAAATTGCATATGTGACACTGTGCAGGTGTAGCAATCATGCACCAGAAGATGTGCGGAAGGCAATAGATAGTACCCTGCAAGACTTACAACTCGACTATCTCGATCTGTATCTTGTATGTACAATCTGATATCTTGGTTTGCTGGTGTATGGGTTTAGGATTTGGATCGTACATTCAAATAATAATCGAACATTACCACTAAAAAATGTTAAATCTTCGACAAGATAACATTTTATTTGTCATGATCCAAATGATTTCTGCAAATATAATTACAATCTTGGTATATGATTTAGTTCGTTTTCATGATATGACGTTGGAGTATGTTTAAGAACAAGCAGCAACCTGACATATTTCACTAGTATCATAAACTCACAGAATCTCGTTTTATTTGCCACTGAATGTTCGTACAATTATTGTAGATCCACTGGCCGGTCAAGATGAAGAAGGGTTCCGGTGGCTTTAAGCCTGAAAACCTTGACCAACCTGACATACCCAGTACTTGGAAAGCACTGGAGGCAGCATATGACTCTGGAAAGGCCAGGGCTATTGGAGTCAGCAATTTTTCAACCAAAAAGCTTAGCGACCTGTTAGCTGTGGCGCGCATCCCTCCCGCTGTTAATCAAGTGGAATGCCACCCTCAGTGGCAGCAGCCAAAGCTACATGAATTCTGTAAATCCAAGGGAGTCCACTTAAGTGTGAGTATTCTGATATGAAGTTAAAAGCCTCTTTTGATGATTTTCGAAAGGCACAAGCTGCTAATTATTGGTATAATGCTGTGATGCTTTTCTAATTTCAGGGGTATTCACCATTGGGATCCCCAGGCACAAGTAGCATTAAGGGTGATGTCCTTAAGAATCCAACTCTATTATCGGTGGCAGAGAAGCTGGGCAAGACTCCTCCGCAAGTGGCTATCCGATGGGGGCTACAATCGGGTCACAGTGTACTGCCTAAGAGCACAAAGGAGGAAAGGATCAAGGAAAACTTTGATGTTTTTGATTGGTCTATACCTGAGGACTTGCTTGCAAACTTTGCTGAAGTAAAGCAGGCAAGTAACTCTTTCTTTGTCCCGTCATTCTTTCCCCAAATTCAAGTTGTCATTTCTTCTTCTTGGCGTATCATGCTTGAATTATGAATGAACTTTCTGTTTGGGAAGATTCGGTTTAGTAACATCTGCTATAGTCTAATTTCATTTCTATGTGATTCGACATTGCTAAAGTTTCTTCGTATTTCCTTCCGTACAGGAAAGGTTAGTGAAAGGTACTGGATTTGTCAACAAGGAGCACGGTCCGTACAAGACCATTGAGGAACTCTGGGACGGAGAATTGTAAGCATAGGCTGGAAGAGCGAATGTTTGAAACATTCAGCTTTTCTATATGCCTTTCTTTAGCCTGTTTTTTTCGTTGTAGCTTGATTTTCAGTGGCTTCTTAGAGAAGGGTGAATTCAGAAGCTCTGGTACTTTTGTTGAACATTGTTATAACTTGTAAGGTTCTTCAGAATCATTGAAACATTAAACCTGTTCACTTCGTCTGTCATGAAACATTGATGTCAAATGTCAATGATCATTTGGTTTAACGACATTTGCAAAATGTCACCTTCTTCGGAGCCAGATATATCAAGTTTGTGGCAATGTGGGCATGCAAAGAAATTAAGCTCTTATAGGGCGAAATTTTACGAGGCATTTCACAAACCGTTTGTCCAAATATTGGCATCCCAATTATATCTTAACCCGGATTAGTAAAAGTAATTCAAGAGAGTTGACAAATTACTCTATCTTAAAAGCCAGTTCTGAATTCAAGAGAGCTGACAAACTACTCTATTTTAAAAGCCAGTTCTAAAAGAACTGTTCACGCTTAGTGGAACGACGGTTTTGCGTGAACAGTTTCATTATGCGTGAACAGTTCCATTTCATCTTGAAAGAGATGAAAACATCCCCACGAACCCAGAGACACCCCAAACCACCCCCACGAATACCTCCTGCAGTTAATCAAGGGGAATTGCACTCTCACCGGCAGCAACCAAAGCTGCGTGAATGCTTTGAAAACAGAATGGACCAGTTGTCAATCTTTTCGGCTCCCCAGTTCTTATAGATTTTTGTGATTAATACCATATTCCAGGGATTTGCAACATTGGCGACGAGCAAGGTCCTCACGAATGCTATTGGTGTATACCTCAATACTTGTTTGCCATGTTTTCTGAAATTTATCAGGCAAGTGCTTTTTCCTTTTCCCCTTCTTTTCATTCCTTCTTTCTCGTTCAGTTGTGTTAGCTTCTGCACTTGCTTGTCATTATACGACAACGTTCGATAGTTTTTTCGATGTATCCTTTCATTGGCATATCGATTAGGCACTTGTAAGCTGTGACTTTAAGAGAACTTCCATATTCGCAATTATTCAACTTCGTTAATACAAGACATTGATTGAATTCAATATTCTGTTCGATTGATCATGCAGGAGAGGCTTACAAAAAGGAACTGGTTTTGTGCACGAGACTCTGGGTGCATACAGGACCCTGGAAGAATTATGGGACGGCGAGAGTGAGCAGAACCTTGATGTTAGGAAGCAATTTCCTTTACGTCTCCTTCAGCTTCTTCGAATACATAGAACTAACAGTATGTAACTACAAAATTTAGTCTGCATAGAAATCTGGATTAGGAATGTCTTGAATATGGTACGTTGTACGTGAAGATATTCCTGAAGGTCGAAAATGTTGCATGTGTTGGGTGTTGAAATGCTGGAAGCTGTTCACTGTTACTTGTTCGATTTCCTTTCCTAACCTGCTTTTTACTCGTGTCTCTACACTTCAACGGAAACTAACTAATCGTGATTTCTCTGCCTTGCCTTAACAACAGCTCTCATCATCTTTCTGTCACGTTTTCACCTTATGCACTCTTCCCCTGTATATATTGAAGTGACTCATTAAAAATAGAAATGAAAAAAATTGTGCAAACAATCGGTTGTAAAGAAGAATGACTTCTTGCACGTAAAAACCATTTTATTTTAGTATATCATCAAATTAAGAGAATGATTTAGGTGAAACGGGTTTACAGACCAAGACAAAGTTATAAAAGTGACCCATAACACTAAAATAAAAAGTGTGTTCCATTGAGGATCTTCTTTCTAGAATTAGAGAATACTACAAAAGCAAGGGACTTTGAACACTAAACAGATTGAAATTGCAATAAAAAGGTTAGAGAATTTGAACACAGAACGTAATAAGTTTAAAAAGAAAACTATTCACTTGGACAATTGCGGCCATTTAATTTGGAAGAGACTAGTTTGACACACCTCGAAAATTGACAATTTATCATTTTCCTTATAATTGTGTGGTCTCCTAGAAAAAGATCGAGATCATTTTTTATGGCTTGAATAAGGCAAAGAAATAGTTGGTTGATAACTCCACCAAGTGTCTTACCTGGACCACTCGATGACTTGATTTGACAACGTAAAAATCTACGGCCACAAAAGGTGGCAACTTTCTATTTCAACAGCTCAGATTTCTTGTGCCATCTTTATAAGGTGATACCAGAAAGAGATTTTTCAATCCGTTCAAAAAATATGTACAGTGTCCATACAACATATTTCATTATCTAAACGGATGAACACTTAAAAAGAAATTCAACTAATTGTATGTTTACGTATAACTTGCCATCTCGTGTACCTAATTACATTGAAAAACCTCTATATACCCGAACGAGTAGAGCACTAACCACATCCCAGAAAACGAAAAAGTAACAGTCCTTATCAAACGGTCGTAAACGATGACGTCTCGGATTCTCTCCCGCTCTCTTATAAATGCGAAGAGCCTTTTCATTTTGTTAGATTACTCTCTCTCTAAACTTCTCTGTCTCCACCTGAGAGACTGAGAAATGGCGGACGACATTCGTTTCTTCGAGCTGAACACCGGAGCTAAGATCCCTTCTGTAGGGTTGGGGACCTGGCAGTCAAGCCCTGGCCTCGTCGGCGACGCCGTACACGCCGCTGTCAAGGTATTTTTCTTTCCCTTTACTACACGTTCTATTTAAATTTTTTTCGAACTGAAAAATCGATCATTGTGGAAGATTATTGGCTATCATTAGTGAAGAAAGTTGAGTTTTTCTTTCCCTTACTTCATTATCATGGGATTCGTTCACAATACACCTCTTGTGGTGAAATTTGAAGTCTAATATGTGAAGAACACAAAAGAAGTAATATAGAGTGCGTGTAGCTGTTGAGCACAACCTGCTCTGATATTATAAACAAAGTTAATTTGTTTTACACCATAAAACCAATTGACAATACGAGAAATAATCCAACTTCCTTATAAGGCCCTACAATATCCCTATCAATATGTGATTCATTCTTAACAATTAGCCGTTTGGTTTTGCTAAAATTTAGTATATAAGATAAATTTGTTGATTTACTAATTGTAGGCGGGTTGTCGACATATTGATTGTGCTCAAATCTACGGCAATGAGAAGGAGGTAACTTCAGTTTCTTTTACGCTAAATTACTTATTCGAGGGCATATTCGACAACTATTTTGTTTTTTGTTTTACCGTTTGTGTGTTGCGCGAGAGATAGACGAAGAGTTTATGGGGAAAAGGAGGATGAATAATGATGGAGGGATCTATCTATAACGAAAAATGAAAGCTAAAAATTAAACATAAAATGGTTATCAAATGAGCCCTGAACATTTGTTGTAAATTTCATTTATGGTTGACATTCGTCTTATGTGTTTGTGCATGTTAAGTAAATTGTACCCAGTAACTACTATCATTATGTTTAACTGTCAAATTTTTATTTTTTATGTTGAGCTGATTGATTGCCTTTAATTACCTTTATAATTTTAATTACTATGCGGTCATCTCTTTACATTAAATCTGGATAAAATTTGAAATGATTTATGTTAGTATCATTCTTTGAAGATGCTTGAGTCGTTACCAGAATTTGGTTCGACCAACAGTTTTTATTTCTTGTAGGTTGGTTTGGTTCTAAAGAAACTGTTTGAAGATGGTGCGGTGACGCGCGAGGATATGTGGATTACTTCCAAACTCTGGTTTGTTCATGCTAATTTAACTAAGTAGTGAGATATTTTGAATAACCGCTGGTTATTTATGCTAAGTGATAGTGCTGTGACCCTTGTTTGGTTGTTTATCCGCAGGTGTACTGATCATGCTCCCGAAGATGTACCAGAGGCATTGGACAGGACTTTGAGAGACTTGCAACTGGATTATGTTGACTTGTACCTTGTACGTATTTCCTGTTCCAATCTTTTTCTCAAGTTATGCCTGTATCAGAATTTGATACCAAATTGTGTGCATTTTGTTTTAATAATTTACATATAGAAGAGGCACTTTATAAGGAATGGAATCGTCGCGTGTTTTCCGAAATCCAAAATTAGATTATATAAGTTACTTTCAAGGGCATTGATCTCCTTGAGTCTGGCTATATTACCTGCATCTTGCTCTAAATATCAGGTTGAAATCAAATATTGTTATGCATTTTGTGAGCATTATTTGGCTGCAACTAATAAGCCTGCTGGAAATTTCGAAGATACACTGGCCAGTCCGGATGAAGAAAGGGTCTGTGGGTTTTAAGCCTGAAAACCTTACTGATACTGACATCTCTGCAACTTGGAGAGCAATGGAAACCCTCTATGATTCAGGCAAGGCTCGAGCTATTGGTGTGTGCAATTTCTCCACAAAGAAGCTGTCAGATTTGCTGGATGTGGCACGTGTTCCTCCTGCTGTTGACCAAGTGGAGTGCCATCCTGTATGGCAGCAGAACAAGCTACGTTCCCTCTGTAAATCCAAGGGAGTTCACCTTTCTGTGAGTATGCAATACTTAATCACATTGTCTGTGTCCTGAGCAGTTACAAAAGTAACATATATTTTTCTTTCAGGGATATTCACCACTGGGCTCTCCTGGAACAACATGGGTCAAACTTGAAGTCCTTAAGAATCCGATTCTTCGGACAATTGCTGAAAAATTAGGCAAAACTCCTGCACAAGTTGCTCTTCGATGGGGGCTGCAAAAGGGTCATAGTGTTCTTCCCAAGAGTACTAATGAAGCAAGGATCAAGGAGAACCTTAATGTGTTTGGCTGGTCTATCCCAGATGACTTGTTCGCCAAGTTTTCTGAAATCGAGCAGGTAACAAGTCGTCACTGGAAATGATTCTTATTCTCAGTGCTATCAGTACCCGTACTTACCTACAACGAGGATGCCATTATTGCGGTATCGTGAGCGAATCATGCTGTAGTAATTGCTATGTAGCCTTTTCTCCTAACTAACTACACTGATTTCCAATTGTGCAGGCAAGACTGATCAGAGGGGCCTCATTCGTTCATGATACTTTTGGTCCCTACAGGAGTTATGAGGAGTTCTGGGATGGTGAAATCTAGATTATAGGAAGTCTCATGAATCATGAATGCTTATGCGGAAGAGATTCTGGGAACATTTTTTATGATTAGTATGACGGTTGATGTCGTAAACAGCGATTAGTTGATTATGCCACTTGCAACTTTCAGCATTTTGTTTTTCTTGATTGCCTTTGCCTGTTGCCCAGCTTTGGCTTGATGGTATTTGTGTTTGGTAATTCATTTGTTCTTAGTTTTTGGATTTTGTTGAGTATCTCACAACCAAAGACTAGCATAAAAACCTTTTCACTTGTGACCGATTGATTTTAGCTGTTACACGCCACTAATAAGAATTGAGAGTTTGTCGAGAGTATCCCACTTACATTTTTTTTTCTTTTTTATTAGTATTTTTTTTTGAGAAATTGACCAAAATGATAATTTTTTCAATATTAGTCAATATACAATTGCAATTTACTTAGGAGAAGTGTTATTGGTACTTTCAAAAATCTCATTTTACACTCTTCACAAATGTATTTTTTTTTTACAAATATAGAAAGTTTGGAGTGTAGAATGAGATTTTTGAAGTACCAATAACAATTCCCTTTACCTAAATAATGGTAGGACTAATCGGAACCTGGAATGGTTAAAGACATTTTAGCTCACCCATGGACACAATCAAAGAACACGTCATTCCAAAGCTTTCAATTGTATAATCATTCGTGCTTTTTCTTAATTATTTGATGGACCACATATAGGTTAATTTTAAATTAAAAACTAGAGAAAAATTTGTCGAATTATCAGAGAGAAGAGTCAAAGGTCCACTTCCAACAATATAGTTATTGTCTTCAACTTGGTAATTACCACCTGCAAAATTCCGTTAAGTGTGTGGTTTTCTCACAAAAAGCCTTAGTATTAGTTGAAGTGAGATTAGAATATTTAAACGTTTTATCACAAAAAATCTCAATATTGGTTGAATTGAGATTAAAATATTTAAACTCTTCTTTCTCAAAGATACGGTTGATATGGAATATTTCAACACGCTCCTTCACGTAGAAAAACGCACATCGGCAACCACATAGAGTAAAAGAGACTCACCTTACACATAGAGCCACATGATCCACCATCATCGTGCGGGGCCAAGAGGACCCACATATCACATGACAGTACTCGTTAAAGGGACAAAGTTGAACCACATTGTTATGGCAATCTACTCTTCCACCATTTTAATGTAGATACTACCATTTATTCAAAAAGAAATAAAATAAAATAAAATAAAAAATATGGTTCCTTAGCATTACCCTTTAATGTGCCACGCCTCCTCTTTTACAAAGTCACCAAATTGGGCACTTTTCCAACCGCAAAGCCATAGGCCCATAGATGATAAGCCCAATACTAAATATTTTATTTCATTTACCTAAAACCCCAAGCATAAGGACAAAACCCTGATCCAATAGCAAATCCCTAAACCATCTGAATTTTCAGCCATAGCCGGACCTCAAATGTCTCTCTTCTCGATGCTCCGCAGGCCGTCCTACTCCGCCCTATCCCTCGCCGTCGGGTCAGCACCCATCTTTCACCGCGTGATCTCCACAGTCCCTACTTTCAGCCCTCAGCTCATCCGTAGAAGCTTTGTAGTTGATCGATTCTCCACCGCCACTGCCACCGCCGTGGAGCCGATCAGCGAACAAAGTCTTGTCGAAGTCCTTGAGTCAGAGATCAAGTGTGCCCAAGACGTGAAACCCAAAGAAGCGTATAACTTTTAGTTTGCCAACTTTACTCTCAAAATTGCTGTTTTTTTTTTTTTTTTAAAGTTGCATTTTTTATTATTTTTTGGGTGACTTTTCATCGAATTAAGCTAAGGGCCGTTTGATATTAAACGCAAAACCTTTAGTCATTCTTAAAAACAAGTTAAAGGAACATCTCTTGAAAACAGTTTTTTTTTTTTTTTTTAATCCAAAAATTTGTTTGCCATTGAAGTCAGAAACTATTTTAGATCTTAAAATTAGGAAAGTCCCAAACTGGTTTCATAGTACTGGTCAGGTAAGTAAGTTAGGATCTCATTGGCAACTACCCTTCCCATCTCCTCCCTCACCGTGTTGTCGGCACCATCCAAGGCTGGCAATTCCCTTAACCTTTTCCGCGTAGCATTAACTAATTGGAGCTACGGCGGAGTCGAATCGACACTGGCAGTGGACTTGAAGCGACGCCCGGCGGAGGGCGGACCCGATCAACGCTGGCAGCGAAGATCACGAAGAGGTAGATGAGAGATAAGACGGAGAGGAGGGAGAAAAGAGGTGAGGGTCGGGCCGTAGAGTTTGTGTTTGGAGATTGTGCTTTATTTTATTTTATTTTTTTAACAAACGATATTATCTAAAGGGTGTGAAAGGAATAATTTGAGATGTATGAATATAATTTCTCCCAAACTAAGGAGAGAGGAATGTGCTTAACTTCACAATGAGTTAGTAATAATGACGTTTAAATTTATCTTTGACGAAAATCGAACTTTGTACTTAGCTTGACAATGAGTTAGCAATAATGAGGTTCAAATTCGTCTTTGACGAAAATTGAATTTAAGACATCTCACTTACAAGTAAAAAGAAATACCACTAATTAAAAAGGAGTACCACTAGACAATAGTATTAAGTGGTTGTAGATGATTGTGTTTAAAACTTTAAAAATATTTTTTTTGTAATTTTATCAAGAAAATTGTTATTAGTACTTCAAAAATCTCATAACACTCCTTATGTATTTTTCTTTTTATTTATAGAAAGTTTAAAGTACAAAATGAGAAGTGCCAAAAATAATTCCCTTTATTAAATACACATTGTTTTTTAATTATTCTTAAATTTAGTTGTTGAAAATTTAAAAACAGGCCAAACAAAAATTTAAAACTTATTTTAAAGTTATAAAAACTGTATTTAAATTGAATACCGAACGGGCAATTTTTTTCAGTAATCCAATGTTGGGTAATTTTTATTTTTTTGGTGAAAATTGTGGGGTAATTTTTTATTTGTATGAATTTCAAACATTAGGAGTGTGAAGACAATTGGAGCATTTCCAAAGGTGAAGACGATTGTAGCATTTTTACGATTTCCACAGGTGAAGACGATTGGAAGTGTGAAGACCCCGGGATTCCGATGGTTGTGAGCATTTCCAAACCAAATGGACTGGTTTGGCGTTTCTGCTTTTGCAACTGAGATTTTGATCGATAGCTTGTCGGTCAAGCAGGCTGAGCGTTGTTCCATAGACCTTGATTCTGCTTATGATGGACCTCAATTTCAGTAAGCATTGTGTCAATGGATCATACCTTTTGTTTGCATCTATTATGCACTGGATAGATTCTGATGATGGCTTCTTTTGTGTTCTGATATGTGCTGTTTTTTTTCCGTCAGTGACTTGGATGAGGAGTTGCAGAATGCTTTCTACAAGGATCTCGAGGGTTGAGGGATCGAGCACACCATGTCTGACTTCTTGTATGATTACATGGAGAACATACACAAGAAAGAGTACCTGATGTGGTTGAAGAATGCCAAGGGTTTTGTTCAGCACTAAACGAAAAGAAACGGAGCTGTGTCATGGAGCTGTATTAGTTTGAGAACCTCTTATTTATACTAGTAGTTAAATAACTAGTTTAGTAAGTAGATTGAGAACATTAGGGCAATGCAGAGCTGGAGCTTATTATATGTAGTTTAGAACTAGGTCAAATATTGTTTACTTCTAATGCTTAATCAGCGCAGATGGGGTTTCCATACGTATTAAGAGTTGTTACGTGTTAAATGAATCGATTACAAATACATTGCCTACTAAGATGTTATTTGGAAGTGTTTTCAGAATTATTAAAAGCGCTTTTGGTTTTGATAATGTTATAAAAAAGAACTAATAGATTGTAGAAGTACTTAGTGCTTTCTCAAGGCATTTCTCGTGGTACTTCTCGTTCACATTACTTACCCTACAACACCATTGCCAAAATTATCAACCCTTTGCTTTCCTCTACTTCGCCCTCGGCCTACCTGTTGGAACTATGGATGGTTGAGTTGGGCGAGAACGGTCACTTACAAACAAGAACAAACAACAGTGAACAACCTAAGGCATTGGTGTGGGTACCGATCAAAAGTTCTCCGATGGTCAAGTCAGTAGAAGATATTAGAACTTAAGCAAGGGCTAGAGAACAAAGTATGCGTTACCAGTGATACGCCCTTGGTGGGTGTATTTATACTAGTCGGGGAGAGAGTCTTTTTAAGATATAATATGTATTAAACCAGGAGAATCATCCATGATATCTAGCATAAGATATTGCTTCCTTTTAGAATTGTGATTACTTGTGGGCACGCCAATCCATAGACTATGGGAATTTCCAAGAATATAGGAAACCAATATGATCTTTAGTTGGATTAGTTTTTCATGTCTTGCAGAGTAAGTATGGTCAATCTCAGCAAGGCCTGCAAGCCTTACCCATCATTCCAGAGCCCAATAGGGTGTGGTGGAACCGTTGGTTTATTTAGTCGACTAAGTCTGTTTTGAGCCGTTAAGTCATTGATCAGACTTCTGAGGTACTTGTATTCTGATCAGCCTTACTCCAACTGAGTAAAATTTATGGTCCCACATTGCCTATGTGACACGCCCAACCCTGATATCCTCCAAACACCAGGGTAGGCACATGTTGGCCGACACCCGAAGGTGACGAAGCCATACTAACATGCATGAGAAGAATGAAGAATTACAAATATAAATAAAACTTATAGATTTAAATACAATGCTTATGCAATTATGGAACTTGTTCAAATCATACAACTAATCTGAGACACTATAAAGGAAATAATATAAAATTGAATGAACAAAGGGATAGGTCCTACACCGAGAGGACTCGAAGATGCCGATGCGGGAGTGCCCTGACACCAGGATTGTACGCCTCAATTCTAAGTCTTGAGGGGGCGCAAAATAAAACATGAGTGGACCAAGTTGATACATAAGTAATACAAAAACAGTTAATCTTTAATGTACTAACCCCCAGGTTTAGAAAACTCATATATCATAATAAGTAATAGGTTTTTTCCAAAAACCCTAGCATGAGACATATATCGTATATAGGGTGCTTAGTAGTAGTAGCACAAGGTACACACACACACACACACACACACACACACACACACATATCTTCATTTGCCCGAAGGCA